GAGGGAATCGTTCAGCCCTGCCCTATTGAATGAATAAGGAGAGACATATTCCATGACTCTGCCATTCTTATGCTACTCATTCTTTACTCCCCCTGTATCTTCTTAAAGGAGTTTTTGCAAGAAAGAGTTGACTTCTGCCCCCCTCCTGGAGTTCAAAACATTTACAGTTCTGCTAATCTCCATTCTTATCTTATGATTGAACTGCTGTGGCTTAGCTAATATAACTAATTTAAATTTAAGTTTTTTTTTCATTCCTGCTGTTATTTATTCCATATGTGCAACAAGTTGCTTAATTATGTCACTTTTGTGTCTTTTCCAGGTTGCTGCATACTCAGATGGTCAAGTGAAAATCTTTGATCTCCTTGATCCCCTGGATTTGATAAATTGGCAACTTCAGGTGGTTGTTCTATATCACTTAATTACTTTATATTACTGCAAACTAGTCACAGCAAGTATTGCTGCGATTTCTTTTGGCTTTGGAGTTCCAAGGCTTTTGTGTCTTATAGCAATTGTTCTCCTTTTTCCCTTTATTCTCTCTTTCCTTCTTTTGTTTCAATAATATTCATGGTTCAAGTATTGAGTAGATTTCCCCTGCCCCCTGCACCCTCAGATCCTAATACTTGTATGTGCTGGAAGACTTTTAATATTCACATTAACAAACATGATATTTTGATCTTTTGAGAATGGTGGGTCTGAATATTGTCCTTGTAGGCTGAATTTCAGAATGTCATTGAATCTACATCCAAATTTGGTAGACCTTTGTGCTTGTCTGCAGCAGTGTGTTGGAATCCTCAAAGGGGTGAACTCCAGCAGTCAAGCTTTGTTTTGGGTTTCAATTCAGATATTCCGCAACTCAATTCCTCTAAGGTATTACAGATTCTTTCTTCCTTCTTTCTTCACCTCACGCTACAGACACTTGATGGAAACATAAGGTTTTGACTCTTTTACCTGTTTGATATTCAGCATCAAAACTTGTTTGTTCACATAGTTTATTATTAGAATAACTAGTTACAAATGCTTAGTTTCTCACAGTGTGCTGTTTGTTGTATGAAGAGGATCCTGTCAATTGTTTAACTGTTAAGCTTGTGCATGACTTAAATGTCCCATAGTTCTTATTGCATGAAATGCACATATGTTGGTCCATATGGTGATGCATTATCATCAGGTAGCTTCCATTTCTGTTAAATATGAGGGGTGGCACTGTATGTGTTAATTGAGATTTTTTATCTTGTCCAATTGAAAATCATCATTGTCCAAGTATTGAGTGAACAACGAAGTGCTGGGTGAGACTTGCCCTGGAGGTTTCCATTGTATGACCTTTTTATAGGCTTCCACAGGTTTGGGAATTTGATCAGGATCACCAGAGATGGCTACCTGTTGCTGAATTGGCTTTGCCAGAAGATAAGGGTGATCAAGTTTTTGCTGTTGAATGGGCACCAAATATTGGAAGGTGGCATACAGCTGTTCATTTCATGAATTTGTCCTTTATACATGAGATCCCTAATAGGATTTGGTTTTTCTGATTTGAGATTAGCTTTCAAGAGCATGAAATCAAAACAGCAAGGAGATAAAGCTAGATAGCAATTTGTTGATGTGACAATTTTAGGTTATGATTAGTCTACTTTGTCATAAGGCACTTGATCCAACATTTCTGTTCCGTTCTTTTGACTTCTAAAGCAAGATTTTGGTTATGAAAAAGTTATAGGTGATTGAGATCTTGAACCATTCCAATGCTTTCACCTATGTTAAATTTAATAATTTGAAATTGTGGAGCACATTAAACCATTTATAAAGCTGCAAGGACTACCATAACACATTATTAGTTAGCCGAAACTACCATATGCTAACAAGACATGAGTCTGGACTTTATCATCTCACTGGACCTCAGATCCTTTACTTAATTGGTGCAATTGGAATAAGAATCAGATTAAAATATTCAAGTTTAATGATGGCGGATAAGAGCATTGTACTTTGTGCAGGCCATATGAAGTGATAGCAGTTGCAACTTGCAAGGGAATCTCGATGTGGCATGTCGGATCAAACCATGATCCTAATGGGAGGCTCTCCGTGGAGAGGGTTGCCTTGCTCTCAGGTCATAATGGCGAGGTACCATTTGCTAAAGCTTATGTACTCCGATGTCATTTTCCTTTCAGGGGTTAGATAGCAATTCTGAATAGTGGTATGAAACTACTTGTGCAATTTTTCTGGTTTTTGGGTGTGACATCATATTGCACTCTAATCCCAATATGGTTTTGCAATGCTTTTGTGACTGTGGACCTTTTACCAATCTTTACAAATTTTTCTCTACTAAATCTTATTGTCAGTTGGCACGTATGAACTGTGAAATGTTTTACATTGAATTGTTTATCCTTGCATCTTTAACCTCCAGCTCACCTGGCACACCAGTTATTTTTGGGTTGACAAAAACATTATATTTCTTGTATAGGTTTGGCAGATGGAGTGGGACATAAGCGGAATGACATTGGCCACCACCGGCAGCGATGGAGTTGTCAAGTTATGGCAATCTAACCTAAATGGGGTTTGGCATGAGCAGGCTCTATTTGAGCCAACCAGTTAGTTTGCTTCACTGTTATAGATGCAGAATTTGGGTTTGTTCGTCCTCCTGACTCCTCTTGGATTGTAATTCTTGGATTCGAATTGGATTGGGGGCACTTGTGCTAATATTTGACTGTAAAATTGCAAGTGTAGTTTTCACGGCACTTACATGGTAATTACAAGAGCGATGATAATTGCTTTAACCAGGCAACTGGAGAAGTTGGGACCATTCTACTTTGTCCACTATAACGTGATCTACTTGATATTGGGGAAGAGGAGATCGATGGTACTGATGGATTTGACGAAATTCAGGAAATTGGGATTTTTTCCGTAAGTGGAAGGCTTGATTTCAGGATCTCCTACTTATAATTCTTTCCATCTTATCACTCAATTCAATCCTCCCTTAAATTGGGATATATATGTTCGAATACAAGGAGTCAAAGATCTTTTATTAGGCCAAGCCAATGCAAAAATAACGGTACTGGAAAAAAATTGGAGATAGCAAAAGCAAGAAACAACAGAAGGTAGAACTCTTTATGCAGAATGAATCGTCTAATTTTGACATCTGACTACCAAAAAAAAAAAGTAAAAAAATGGTGTGCTCCCGACTACTTGAATCTTCGTACAAAATTGTTGTTGTGAATTTGTTTTGGAAATTTGTTTTTAAAGAAGGAAATGGCAATTTCTTGAACACCGTCAGTTTGTAAATTTTACTTCGGTTGACTGCAAGTGTGCTGCAATTCCTGCAAACCTTGTAACACAATCACTACAAGCCCTTACAATTTCCTGTTGGAAGTATAGTTTACTAGATACACAATCACTGGAAATTTTTATACTTTATCCCCCTTCTGTTGCACAATATGCAGGAACCAATGTTTTTGCCTTTTCAGATGATGCAAACAAAAGAAATACAAATTAACCTTTAGAAAGGTTGAATTTAACCATTAACATTTAACGGAGACCATCAACAACGCCTTTGATCAAATTCCAATTCCGCTATCCATCATCTCTTATGGCTCAACGACTTGTACAAACTAGCTTAGGTAATGTAGTAAATTTTTTTCTACTTTCTACAAACAGCAATGAATTTATATCAAATACCAGTGTAAAACCGTCCTTCAAACAAGCATATTACTTGGGTAAATCATTTTTTACCCGCATGTGATTTGGTGATTTATCATATTACCCCCCATAGTGTAAAAACCTATACATAGTCCCATCACAGTTTGAGTTAAAGTATCATCATTAGTTTTTTTTTTTTTTTTGGTTAAAACTAATGATCAATATTAAAAAATCAAAGTGAAACAGTTAAATTGACAAATTCACTTTCCACTACTATTTTTTCTCTTTTTCTTTTCATGTCTATTTATTTTTATTTTTTTCCCTTTGGGAAGGTAAGAGATGATTTTGAAAGATTGTACTTTTGGCCTATTAAATCTTAACTTTCTCCAAATACAAAAAAAAAAAAAAGGAAAAAAAATAGATAAATAACAAATGGAGAATACTATTAAAGATTTGGTTTAAAATCATACAATAATATTTTCTTTTAAAGATTTAACTTTTTCTATTTCTTATTTATCTATTTTTATGTCCTTTTCTTTTTTTTTTTTTTTTTGGTATTTGGACAAAAAAAGAAAAAAAAGTGGTAAAAAGTTAATTTATTAGTTTGACTTTGACATTTAGTTTTTAGCCTAGACCATGGGTGGATTGTGTATAAATTTTTAAACCATATTGGAGTTATATGGTAAAACATTAAATCAAAGTAAAAAGTAAGTTATCTTATTTATCTTTTAGATTAATCTTCTATACTATAAGAATATATACACTGTCTCACAGTGTATTGTATTATTAACCTAAGTAGCGCCACATGTATGATGAATCTAAAAGTGATAATTTATATTCTATCAATATATATAAGATTTATTCATACGTGTGTTCGTCTTCCACGTAGTAATCTCATGAGATCACACGAAATGTTTTTGAGCCAATGGCATAAATCTTATACATGCCTAAAATAAAGTATTAAGCTAATCCCATTAAAAATCCTGATGCCCGTAGGAGTCTAGCAAAAGTGTTCATTGTAAATCCATAGTATGTATGTTTTACGTAATTAGTGCTTTGGTGTCTGATTTTATCCTCAATTGTAAGCCCATCATCTTAATGCCCAAAATAATTGGGCTGAGCTTTCTTCTGTATGCTTGTTCCACCGACTAGAGACTAGATATGAACAAGGATGTTTGGTTGATTGTTACTAGAACACCGGGAAAGAAGCAGCAAACCTGTTTTAGGAAAGTTAGAATTCCAGAATCAGTAGGGATTCGACGAATCTGCTGATTTACATTGCATTGCATTCACACGTATCCCTACATATATGTATAGACACCTCCTCTCTGCCTCCACAAACTTTTCTCCCCATTCTTCTCTGTGATCAAGAAACGTTAAAGATGGTGAGAAAGAAAGTGGACATCGTGAAAATTGAGGATAAAGCAAAAAGACAAGTGACTTTCACGAAAAGGCGGCAAGGGCTGTTCAAGAAAGCCAGTGCACTTTGCAATATTAGCAATTATGAGATTGGAATCATCACTTTTTCCCTGGCCGGCAACATGTATGCCTGGGGACATCCCACAGTTGACTCCGTCCTGAAGCGTTACATGGCCGACAGGGCCCAGAAACCTGATGAAAATCATCAAGAAAACGAAACTTCTCCAGGCGATCACCATCAGAACAAACGGGAGGTGAGTCTGGCTTTGTCTTTATCACTACCTGCAGATGAAAAAGAGACCCCTGAAAGATCTGACGAAGGGAAGGCTGGTCAGGAGAAGGGTTTGGTGTTGAAGAACAACAACAATAACAGTAGTAATCAAGAAGGGGAGAAGAGAGTGGAGGGGCATGCAGCAGCGGCGAAGTCAAAGGTGATGGCCTCATGGAATTTGCCAAAAGTTGATGATCTAGAGATTGATGAACTTGAACGACTTATGGCAGATATGGAAGAGATGAAAAAGAAGGTTGTTGATCGCGCTAATCAGATGAAAAGCAGTGCTGGTCGAGTTCCAAGTTCCTAGTCTGCCTAATTAGCTGGTACATATTTCGGGGGAGAAGATTTCAATCTTACAAGTCATTCAATTGTTAATTGCAATCGTTGGTCTGAAAGTCTACAAATTTATTTTTTTTTTGGGTTTTTTTAAGGTTTGGTCATGTTTCAGCCAGCCACCGGCAGACAGGTATTTAGGTGAGTGAGCAGGGATCAGTAATTAGGACTTAGTAGTTAAATGGGGTTTTGTTTGAGTTCATAGAACGATGGACAGTATTGCTGCATGTTCCTTTTCCACTTTCTCCTCAGAATGTGGCACTTCTACATTTAATTTTTCTTTGTGCCTTAATATGTGCCAGGAGCAAGATATACACTTTGTCCGACTAAAGTTTCTTCTTTCCTACATCACAGGCGAACCACATTATAATGACCTTAACCGGCACCGGCACCGGCACCGATTCCATTTGTTTCTTGATTTTCACCAATAATAAGCAGTAGTAGAACTTTTCATATAAAAATTCTATAATCATGTTGAATGACTTTGCCCGGAAGGGACTCGGCAATGTCTTTCTCATCTGATTCCAACCTTTGGGCTTTTGGCACCTGGGCATTTGGGCCTACTGGCTTCCCTCCGGCCATTTAAGTTCTCCAAAACAGGATAAGGCTGCTCATATCCAACACAATTTTCCTCCAAAAAATAAATAAATAAATAAAAAGACACAATTTTCCTCAATATCACCCTTTAATTTCCAACGCAGAACTGCAGATACACTACCGTAAAACTACGCGTTGTGCAAGAATGATATCAGCGATGAACTCCGTACAACCTCTCTGGAGTTTGAAGAGCCCCAAATTGTCACTGGGTTCTTCTTATTCTTACTCACTTCGGACTAGCGTTTCTCAGACAAATCTTGGTTGTAAAATCAAACAATCCAAGTTTGGCAGGAGATTTTTGGCAAATAGAGCGAGACTTGTAGTGTGTGGTGGGTTTCTTTTGCCAGTGGATCCCTGGGCACCTAATGTTGATTCACAAAGCATAGCTCCACCGCTCTTTGCTTTATCTCTTTTCCCCTACATTGGTTTCTTGTATTACATCACCAAATCCAAGTCTGCCCCAAAACTCACTCTTTTTGGATTCTATTTCCTGCTTGCCTTTGTTGGTGCCACCAGTGAGTTTCTTGCTCTTTTCCTGTCACTGAATTTCTTGTGTTTTCTTTGGGGTGTGAACACGAAGAAAGTTGCAATTATCCCTTTGTCATTTCAAGAAAAATAGGCTTCGACTCTTTCCCCCTTTTCCGCGTAGTCTTTTCAAAAGAAAGCCATCTATCATATTCATCAATACTTAAATCCTTTTGCCGACTATAACTGTATTAACAAATAATCAAATGGTTCTGCTCTTTTGATTTCTAATTCCGAATGTCCTTCTTATCTATTATGACTATAACAAATCTAAACTAGGTATGAGTTGCTAGTGACTTGTTTATGTTTTCTGATTCAACATCTGGAATTAAACAATCAGTTCCCTGACTTAGTGTACCGCTTGGAAAGTGAACAATGTTCGCTATGTTGAGTGAAGTTTCTTACCATTAAATTGACTGCAATTGCTTTTGCCATCCTATGCTTCATATTTTTGCTACCAAGAGCTAGTATTCCACACCACTAACATTTTGCTTCTTGGTTATTTCTGCCAGTCCCAGCTGGAATATATGGTAACTACTGTCCCTTATCAAAATTTTTGATGCAAATCAAGTACACCTTCCTCATAATCTAAAATTGTCTAAATTTTGTGCTCTTGAGCAGCAAAGGTGCAATATGGAACTTCCTTGTCCAATGTAGATTGGTTGCATGGTGGAGCTGAGTCACTGCTGACTTTATCCAACTTGTTTGTTGTTCTTGGGCTGAGGCAAGCTCTTCGAAAGTTGAAAAATGCAGACGAAACCTCCTCTAGTTTGGCTTCTGGTATTGAAACGGAAAAGTCATCCAATGTCAAATTTTAAGAGAACGGACATTTTATATTGGATACTTATCCTTGCCAATGTTTATACGTAGCTAATTCCGTCACCTCTGTCTTTGGACAACTTTTGGCATACATTTGATCTAGTATTGACAGTCTGCTGTTTGCAAAAATCATGCAATTTGGTTGTGAACCTAATTTTCCAGGTTGATTCTGTATCGTGTTTAAATAATCATCCTGAGATAATATTAATGGAGTCGAAACCCCATCCACCCTTCAGAAAGGACAGAAGAAAATATTAATCATGTTACATTTTTCATATCAGGTACCGTAAATAGTGCCATGCGAAGAATTTTTGATCTCCTTTCCCTGGAGCAACTTTATCTTTTAATTCTCAAGCGCTTATGCACATAATTGAGCAATTATGCTAGCTAAAGAAAGGCCTATGAACACACCTAAACAGAAAAGAAAATACATATTAAATAATCTGTGTTCATCTGAGAACTCTTAGCTTAATTCTTGGCAAACAAGAGCAACTTCTGTTCAGTGAAGGCCTGCAAATTGAAGGCAATATCCATGGATACCAACATACTAGGAAGCAGTTGGCGGCAAAGCCTTTGTCAAGAAGTTGTCAATCCAATGCGACTGGTTAGTGGTTAGTAAGATTCTTAAGCTTCTCAGGAACACTGGTCTATTCATAAAGAACATTTCTAGAGCTTAACTGCTAGATGGGCTAGATGGGAATGTTATAGCTATGGCCCCTGTACTCAGAGATTGGCCTCTATATTATTAGGTTCATAAACAATTTTAGATACTCTCTTGGCTAAATAACTAAACAATTCTGGATACTACCTTGGCTAGCATTATTTAGCTGACGTACAAATTTGTACAGGCACATTCTCATTCTACTTGTGAAAATGGGAAAGATTAGTTGCTCAAATTATCCATTTTAGAAGCATGGCCAGTTTGTTTGCCTATTCGCCTCTTCCTTTTACATTCAAGCCTGGGATCATGTGAAAAATCCAGGCGCATTGAATGGGAAATTTGGGTCTAGCTCAACAGAATCAATTGAAAAATCCAACCCTGCGATTGGTGAATTGGTAGCTGATGCAGTGGCTGAGATGATCTCCGTGAGATCAGATTCTGAACCGTGCAAATTTTTAATCCTTCCAAGGTTTGCCATGTGGCAGGGTGACATCGAGAAGTAGTTCGATCCAGATGTTGCTGGAGAGACAAAGGATGGAGAATAAGTCCCCAAGATGTTTTCATCAACAAGTGCTGACATTGGAAAGAGCTGACTTTCATCATCCATATGTGTTGCTGAAGGGAAAGAGAAGGGGGATACAATCTCCTTAGCCTCTGAATCCCCAGTATTAACCCTTAAATTTGCTCGAAAATTCATTACGATCTGGTTTGGCTGTTGAGGTTGTTGGTGGTTATTGTGATTGTAACTATGTTTAAATTCTTGCTTTGCTGGTGATGGGTGTTGTGGAACAGAAATGCTGGTGGCCGTGTTGCATACGTGCGTCCCTTTGTAAGTGATCTCAAATAGAGTAGGATCATCATCAGACCTCTGAACTTGCTTTGTTGCCCAGCAATTCCGCATGTGGCGGTATGTGCATCTATAGTAGCTTCTGCAGATAAATTGAAAACAGGGGTTAGTATTTACATTTCGTGTAGATGATTGTTTATCTGAAAAGCAGGCACCTTCTTAGGTAAGGGTTACTTTCATGTTTGCAGAGTGTTTTACATATTTTAGTGCAGTTTAGTTAAGGTAGTCAGGTCAGCTGGATGTACGCATCGGTTGTGTACTTATTACAGTTGTTTGTTTGAACTTTAAATAATAAGCGAGTGTGTAGCTTTATTATGACTTTTATGCGGGAGGACAAAGGAAATTGACCGCGCTCACCTGGGATATTTGGCTCCCAAAATGTCCTTCTGCCCGTACTTTCTCCAACTATAGCCATCATCAGCAGGTCCTTCAAGTCCGTTCTCAGGGCTAACCCTCACTTGTTCTGTCCATGTGGGCTGTGTCTTTCTGCAAGATTAATGGTGAATTTTTTAGCATGGTGACATCCTATCATAAACTTAAGCGTTGTGATAAGATTTGAATTCGACGAAATTCACCTCTTCTTAGATACATCTCTGAGGTCCTGATAATCGTTGAAGTTGTTCTTCGCTTCCTCATTCTGAGGGCTGCCCTCCACCGAGATTGAAGACTCCGGGGCGCCAGATGCCAGTGGCGTAGGCTGTGATTGTCCTACCGAGCCGCCACCATTCCACTTGAGGATCGAGAGAGCTTTCTCATAAGAAGATAGGATCCTTTGCAAGAGCAAATCTTGAGGCTCCATATATCCTGAGCTCAAGTGAACTCTGAGCTGCTTAGCTTGCTCCATCCCTTGAGTTAGCTCATTAACCAGCGTGTAGTAATCCCAGCTTGATCCGTACTCCATCTTGATATAGTTCCCAACTAACTGCTGTTTCAAGAACAATGCCTTCGATTTCTTTAAATGGCTTATCTCGTCCAAGTGCTATATTAGCGACACTCGGTCCGCGAGTTTGCTGCTGTCGAAGTTTTCAGTTTGCAGCATAAGCAGGAGACGGAGCAGAAGTGGTGCAGAAAAAATTTGGAAATGTTTTGTCAAACTGAAAAGGGTCGATGAAGAAGTTGCCAGACTGCAGACTGGAGTGATTTTGGAAGGAGGACTTGGAAGTTTGTTTCTGGGCAACTAAACTGAGGTTACGCTGTTGGGTGCAACTGCTAACTGCTAAGACGCTACTGAAAATGAGAGAAGCCGCAGCTGCTGAGTGCTGAGGAAGAAGCAGAGTGATGGATTTGAATTTAAAGAGACAGACACCTTTGAGTATTAATCTATGATTTGAATACTTGACAAAGAGGAGGGGCTGTGGAAAAAGACTGGGAGAGTTGAAGTTTGACTGAGAAACCGAGTTTTTCCGCGTAGATTGGTCTTTGGTCATATTGGAATTTAGAAGTAAAACGTACTCTTACTGAATAGTGAGGCAGTGGAACTAAGGAAGAATGCTGACCAATTCAAAAGGGTTCTTTTTCCTTGAAACAGTTTCAAAAAGCACGTTTAAGGTTTGAGTTCCGGTAAGCGGTAGTGGCAAGTCCCCTCTCCATCTAAGTGTACTGTTGTACCTCCTCTACTTTTTTTTTTTTTTTTATAATATTTACCAAGATTGGTAACTTCAATTGTTTAGAATAGTGCATGTAGCATTGGATTTTTGAAATTTTCAATTTAATCCTCAAAAAAAAAAAAAAAAGTTCCCAATTTACATCACACCATATTATTGCTAACTTTGAAGCACATAAAAATTTTTTTTTTTTAGACGATAGGATCTTTTCATTCATTAAAAAGGAAATTTATATGTGCGAGTAAAGGCTCGAAAAGCTGTACAACTAGTACTCAATTGCACTGAGGAAAACACCATTCCTCATCCAAAAGAATGCCTAAGGCATAAGAACTTTAATCTTTTACAATTTGTCATGAAAAAATAAATTTCGCTTATTTAGTAGTAATATATTATTTACTCCACAATTGTTGACAATTGGAACTGGAAACGTTGAGACTAGAATTATTAGATTCTAGAATCTAACACCTCGGGGGAAGAAGGGGGGGAAGGAATGCAGTGGTAACTGGTAAGGTCCAAGTGCTGACCAATTCAAAGCTCCAAACCAAATGGGCCTCCTTTCTTTCCTTCTTTCCTCCTTTCTCTGAAAATACTTTTTGACAGCAAATTCGTGGCGCACATGATTGAAGTTTGGAGGAGCTTACCAAGTCAGAGAAAGGGATTTAGGTGATTTGGATATGCAGCTGCTTAGATAAATCCTCATACGCCATTCCGCGTGGTTTCCTGATTGCGGCTTCTCACTACTACGACACCACATACTAGTACTTCGTTCAATGGCCAAATTATGAAGATTCCAACTCTAATACCTCCCTCCCCCACCCCCACCCCAGCAAAAATGAAAAACAAAGGGTCGGAGTTGGTGAGTTTAACTACTAGTCCCACTCGTAAATCGAGTTCTTAACCCTTTTTTTTTTTTTATTTGTTTTTGAGGAAAGAGTTCCTAACTATGTTACTATTATATATGATTGAGAATAGGTCGGATGGTTCGAAGAAAAAAAAAAAGTGTAAACGAAAGGTTTCGAATTCGATCCCTCCACTTCATAATACGGTAGTATTTAAAAGAAAAAACTGTTAATATGACATGTATGCATCTGCCACCAGTCTTGTCTCTAGTAACGAAATTAACTGAACATCCAAGACTCACCAGGAAAGAAAAGAAAACATGTTGTGTCCATAAAATTTCAAGATAGGCCCCGAAGGATTTCTTCTTTTCAAAATGTACCATTTATACTCCACTCACTCTTATTCCTATAAGGGAACAAATTAGACATGCATAATTCCAGTTTGGTAAATGAAAGCCTCTCTTGTCTTGCACTAAGATTTGAGTAGTGGAGAATTTCTTACTTTTAATTATTAAAAAGATTTTAGATTTCAGCTCTACAATTTATAGACTATTCACGCCGCGATATATTCCAACCAGTTCTTGCCAGCTGTAATATAAAAGCAAAATACTTTGCCGGAGTTTAAATCACGGTCAATTAATTAACGCACCAAGGACTCTGGTGAAGCTTCGAAGCAATAGGAAAAAAAAAACGAGAAATTAATTTTTTTATTTTTCCTCCTGCGCAGGAATAATAGCAGTATACGGCTAGTGGATTATAGAATTTGACTAATGATAACATTTTCAACGAGGCAGGCAATATTCAGAAATAAGGAGCACCTCTCCAGTCACCAGGATAAAGCAGTAGTATATCATTTCCTACGAATTTTGTATGGTTACAAGCCATTAACGCGTAAAATTCAATGGGAGTCTCTATAGCCGTCGTGTCTTCTTGCAAAGTTTGTTTACCTTAGTGGCAAAAAAAACCTGAGACTATAGAGAGATTTGTTGTCAAAAAAACTGAGGAGGGATTCATTCATTTAGTGTAGGATTCATTCATTCATTCAAAAAAACTGAGGAGGGATTTCTTATGGTGGTGGTTCAGTCCCCTCCGAGTTACCTCAGAACCTTTTTAGGCCCTCCCCATCCACATAGTATAGGAAGCTATCGTATCGAAAAAAAAAAAAAAAGATTGATTCATTTAGAGCTCACATAAGGAACATCAGCTAACGAATATTTGGATCCGCCATCCAACTTACAAATGGTTGGTTCAGCACTGAATTGAACGGGCGATGTAATTTAAATA